TTCGTGGCCTTGGTGCCTCTAGAACTTGTTCATGGGTCTTGGTGCCTCTCTAGAACGTGTTCGTGGGTCTTGGTGCCTCTAGAACTTTGTCAGGCCTTGGTGTCAGCAATGCCTGTGGCCCTTGGTGCTCTAGAACTTGTTCAGGGTCTGGTGACTCTAGAAACTTGTTCGTGGCCTTGGTGCCTCTAGAACTTGTTCGTGGCTCCTTGGTGCCTTCTATAATCACAGGCCTTGTGTTTCTATAACGTGTTCGTGGCCTTGGTGACTCTATAACGTGTCTGTGGCCTTGGTGCCTCTAGAACTTGTCTGTGGGTCTTGGTGACTTATACGTGTTCGTACTTTGGTGCTCTCTCTATAACGTGTTCGTGGCCTTTGCGCTCTAGAACTTGTTCGTGGCCTTTGGTGCCTCTAGAACTTGTTCGTGGCCTTTGGTGACTCTATAACTTGTTCATGGCCTTGGTGACTCTAGAACTTGTTGGTGGCCTTGGTGCCCCATAACGTGTTCGTGGGTCTGGTGCCTCTATAACGTGCTCGTGGCCTTGGTGACTCTATAACTTGTTCAGCCTGGTGCTCTAGAACTTACAGTGGCCTTGCGCTTCTATATAACGTGTTCGTGGCCTTTGGTGCCTCTAGAACTTGTTCGTGGCCCTGGTGACTTATAACTTGTTCGTGGGCCTTGGTGACTCTATAACTTGTTCGTGGCCTTGGTGCTCTCTAGAACTTGTTGGTGGCCTTGGTGCTCTGGTACCGTGTTCAAATGGTGCTCTCTAGAACTTGTTCGTGGCCCTTGGTGCCTCTAGAACTTGTTCGTGGCATTGGTGCTCTGTATAACGTAAGCCTGTGGCCTTGGTGACGTAGAACTTGTTCGTGGGCCTTTGGTGCCTCTATAACGTGTTCGTGGGTCTTGGTGCCTTAGAACTTGTTCGTGGCCTTATGACTCTAGAACTTGTCTGTGGCCTTTGGTGCCCCATATAACGTGTTCGTGCATTGGTGCCTCTATAACGTGCTCTGTGGCCTTTGGTGACTCTTTTTGAACTTGTTCGTGGCCTTGGTGCTCTAATATAACGTGTTCAGTCTTGGTGCCCTAGAACTTGTTCGTGGCCCTTGGTGACTCTAGAACTTGTTCGTGGCCTTGGTGCTCTATAACTTGTTCGTGTCTGGGTGACTCTAGAACTTGTTCGTGGCCTTGGTGCCTCTATAACGTGTTCGTGGCCTTGGTGCCTCTAGAACTTGTTCGTGGCCTTGGTGACTCTAGAACTTGTTCGTGGCCTTGGTGCCTCTATAACTTGTTCGTGGCCTGGGTGACTCTAGAACTTGTTCGTGGCCTTGGTGCCTCTATAACTTGTTCGTGGCCTTGGTGCCTCTATAACTTGTTCGTGGCCTTGGTGCCTCTATAACTTGTTCGTGGCCTTCGTCGTGGAGTCGACTCAAGGTATACCAGGGAGGTCAAGAGCAGTGTGAGCCGTGTATATTCTAGATGAAGCGGTGGCTCCGCTAGGCTACCCTCCACCATGCTATTTCTGGCGCGCGCGCACACACACACACACACACTGTATATACAGTATACCGGTGTGCGCGTCCCAAATTATAGTGATAATAGTAAATACAATGGCTACATTTTTTTTCAGTTTGAACAATATTTACATATCAATAATGTATATAAAATTTGGACAACGTTTATATTAGCATAAACTTCGATTTCATCAAAGTACCGTCCTCATATCTAAGGGTTTGGCAACCGCAGCACTCCACTCTAAACGTTCTTGGGCTGTTTTTAACAATTCTCCAAGGTTTTGTATCTTTCTGGGGACCCAGTTTGTATTTTCATTCATCCATCCCAGTCTCTGCCTTCCCCTGTCTTTCCTGCTCTCGACTCTTCCCATTAATATTTATGTTCCCACCTCATCGCTAATAATTATATGACCAAAGCTTTTTTTTCTGCACATTTCAAGTAGGTATTTCACTTGAAGTTTTTGCTTTTAAGTACTTTTTCATGTTTTCCTGTCAGCATACATTGTTCTTAGCATTCTCCTATAATACCACATTTCAAAGGCCTCCAACCTCTTTCTGGTGTCTGCTGAAGTGACCACGCATCAGATTTATACAACAGTCCTTGTTATTAAAGCCTTTCAGCAGCCTTTTTTCTGAAATTGAAGTTAATGTCTCTTTTCATTAGGTCTTTTAGATTATTAAATGTTGTTTTTGCTTAGCCTATTCAAGTTTTGATTTCCTCCATACATACACCATCACAGGTAATGTTACATCCCAAATATACAAAACAAAATTCCACTCGTTTAAGTTCCCTGTTGCCTGCCATAATTTCGATTTTAGGATTTATTTCCAATTTGGAGACAATCATTACTTTCATCTTTACAGCATTAAATCTTATCCCATATTCTTCACCCTTTTCCACTAATCTGTTAACGAGTTTTTGTAGCAACCTCACTATCTTTGATAACAGCATCATCATCTGCATAGCACATATTTGATCCTACCTTACCATTAACTTTTCGTTCTTCATTATCACTTATAACGTCGCTCATTAAGAATTCTGAATATATATTGTACAATGTTAGAACAGTCTTCTCTTACTCCATCTACCTGTGAACCAATTAGTAAGTTCATTATTTACTAACACTGCAGCCTCCTGTTGCCAGCCAGTAAAGATTCTTCAAAATTCTAATATCTCCTTCATTAATGCCTCTCTTTCCTAACACCTCTATAAGTTTATTGTGCCTCACCTAATCAATAGCTCTTTAAAAATCAACAAAGATGTACAAATTTCGGATGACCTCTAGAGCCCTTTACTCAAAATACTCAAACCAAATACTGTATAGCTTCTCTAGTTCCCTTTCCCTCTCTAAATACATTTAGTTCTTCAGATAACTGACTATCGATTCTATACTTTATTCTAAGGCTCCTGGTTTTTTAGGTAATAATACAAATATTTATATTTTTTTTTAATCACTGGGAAGGTCTCCTTTGAAGTGCTGTGTGTAGAATTACATATTTTAGTCAAACATTTTGTCACATTATAGCCTATTTTTTTTAAATTCTGCTGGAAACTGATCAACCCCACAAGCTTTAGCATTTTTCATTTGGACACACCTGCCGCAACTTTTGTTTCCAAAACTGGCATTTCGATCTTTATTTCCTTTTCGTTTCTTACCTCTCTCTACTCTATTTTTATCATTGTATAGTTCTGTGTACTCTGACCATCTCTCATTTACTTCTGCCTCAAACAGGATCTAATTGTCTTTGCTTTTAGTAGTCCCACTCCATATATTTCCTTTTTTCTATGTTAATTTTTATGTAAGCCTCACTCCATTTTCTCACATTTCTTGGTCTATCCATTTTCTTTAAAATTTAATATGTCATCCAGTTACTTTTAGCCTCGTTCCCATGACCTATAAGTTTTCCCCAGTCCTTAACATTACTTCTTTGTAATTATTAAATTGTTGTCATGGTTCTTGATTGCCAGTCTTCCTTCAGCAATAATGAAAATCTATTTTCGGTTTCAATTTCATATTCTATCCCTGCCCCTGTTTTAAGTTTACGTAAGTCCCACTTGATTTTGCCAATTGTTTTTCTTCTTAACTTTTAAAGTTTTATTCTTACCCAACTCATTACTGGGATGTAGTCTGACCCACAATCTGCCCCTGGATAGGTCTTGGTTCGGGTTACTGAATTTCTGAATCTTTCCTGAATTAAAATGTAATTCATTTTATTCCTGGGTGTTGTTTACACTGTTCAAACCATGTACTGTACAGTATTTACAATTATCATCTTGGTTTCCTACTTTTGAGTTACCGTATGCATAACTGACAATGTGTTTAGAGCAAATGGGAAGTTCTACAAGCAAATATTTGGCATGAGCATGGGTAATTGTCTTTCTGCTCCTCTAGCCTGTATTTATATGGAGATTTTTGAGTCTAGATTACTACCCCATATAGTGGACTTTATTCCTCCATGGTATAGATATGTAGATGATGTTCTTTGTCTTTGGCCTAGAAACAGTGACGCATTGGAATTTTTAGACAAGCTTAATGATATTGTCCCTAGTATCACATTCAAAATTGAAAGAGAAATAAATGGATCCCTTCCATTCCTTGATATGCTTATCATGAGAAATGGCCAAAACTACAAATTTAAGGTATACAGAAAGCCCACACAGGTAGACAGTTTCATTCACTTTTTATCGAATCACCTGGAGTCTACCAAAATGTCAGTCTTTTCTGCTATGTTCTTAAGATGTCTGCGTATTTGTGACTCTGAATTTATTGACGATGAATTGAAACACATTCGTTCCATTGCACAGAAACTCGGGTACCCTTCTGTGTTTGTTGATCGTTGTTTTAAAAGGGCTAAAAAATCCTTTCATTCCTCTCAAACCAGACAAATTCCTACACTTAAGAATATTTTGACTCTGCCCTATCGTAATGAATTTGTCCCGTTAGTTCGGTCCCTCAAACTACTAAATATTAATGTTGTTTTCATGTATGACTCAACCAAGCACTGCACTCAATTGCCTTCACTTCCCAACATGTAAAGTTAGATACCCATTTACAGCTGAGTGGACTGTGTCTTGGCATCAAACCAGCGACCCGTGCAACGGAAGGCAACCGCTAATATATATCCACCACACTCCACTGAACTAGTTTAAGGAACCTCTAACAAGCGGCAGCTGTATTAAAACCCTTAACGAGCGAGATCTAGATGAAGAAGCCTTTGGCGAGTGTGAAATACCATAAAGGTCCATTAATAAATATTAACTAGTGTATGGAACCTTAAACGAGTGTGAACTAATGTAAAACAAAATTTATAAGCAAGCCCGGCACTGTACTCAAAAACCTGTACTATCAACTATAGAGTTATGTACCCATTTAAAATTGGATGGATCAAACCAGTGGCCCACAGGACAGCAGTCGAGCTATAGACCCCCCACCCACAGCACTAGTAAAAGAAAGTCAACAGAAGAGCGTGTAATGTAGTGTACTCACGTGGTTAAGGTGGTGCTGAGATGCTCCGCCGTTGGGAACAGCCTCTTGGAAAAATATACTTAGCGCTGTCTGCAAAGATAAACAATACAAATGTGAGAATGTGGGAGACATGGGGTGTGGAGGAGACTGTGGGAGACGTGAGGCGATGTGGGAGATGTGGGGGCGAGGAGTAGAATGTGGGAGGCGTGAGGGTGAGGAGCATGTAGAAGGCGTGAAGATATGGAGGAGAATGTGAGACGTGATTTTTACTTGTACAGTGTCTCATAAAACGCACCAGCAAGAAAAATTTCATGAGGATAAGTTGCGTGATAACAGATACTCTTAGACAAAAAGCACAGAAAATGCAAATTTTCACGGACAAAGTTCGAAGAACAGTACTTTATGCCAATGAGCAAATTCGCCTTGAAAGCTCAAGTCCCGATAAAACAAGCCTTTGGGGGAACAGTTTGAAAATGAGCGAGAAATCCCGCATTAATACTAACTAAAAAGCAATTCGTATAACTTCCAAACTAGAATTTATCTATGTTACTATCTATTTTGATCCCTTCTTTGTAAATGATTGCTACTTATGGGGGCATTTTTTTTTTATGGGGAATAGCCCACCCGGGCCCAGGTCAACGGCCCACAACGGGGCCCCCCGTAGGAGGCGGAAAAATTTGTGTAAAAAAAAATTTAAAATAGAAAAGAAAAAGATTATATTAATCTACGCCACGAAGATGCCGGAAAACCAGCTTTCTAATGTGAAACATATTGTATGAGTATGGAAACACAGAGGACAGAGCATTCCACAGTTTGGCTGTGTGAGGAAAGAAGGATGTACTATAACGGGTTATTCTAGTGTGACCGACATCCCCAGAAAAACGGTGGGCACCGCAGGCAAGACGAGTGTTACGAACCCACGTTAAAACATTCTATATCGGAACAAAGTATGAACCAAGCTCATCCAGTAAAATATTTTAATTACTGTACTCGCTAAACAACGCCGGGAGTACAGCTTGACTCATGGTAGTGTTCACGGTCACTTGTTCTCACACTTTCTTGCCATATTCTTTATATCACTCGTCAGATTTCCAAACAAACGCATAGACAGTAGCAATATACCCAGTTTAAATTAAAATTTTATTCTCTGCATTATAAGATGGTGTTGTATAAGCTGATTGTAAATGAGGTCTGAGGCAAAATGTTGAAGACTGTGGTCATTACATAAAGTACAACAGTACACAGAGGATTCATTAGTCAGGAAATACGTGATCTTGTGGTTATACCAAATATCATCTAAAGAGTCTTTGGTTATACTTTCTCAATATTTTTCTTCATAAAAATAAAAAATAAGTAAACTCTCAAACTCAAAATTAGCCCTTAAAAAGAATTATGGAACTTGGGTTTCTCTAAAAAGGCCTTGGGAAAAAGTAATTTTAACTTTTTTAACGTGGATTCTTATATTGTATGAATGACTTCAAAGGCATGTGTTATAGCGTAAGATGAATGAACCAGCTGAAAGTAGATTAAGGGATAGGCATAAAACAAACTGAATTAATTATGCACAGGTAACTTTAATATGTATATTTTTTTTTTTTTACAAGAAAAAAAGTGATTATAGCTTGCAAAGAATCATATATTTTTCTCGGGACCAGGAAGTCGAAAAGTGAAATTAATTTCGTTATAGAAAAGTGCATAAAATGTACGACAACAACTGAAATAGAAGTCTTTTATCTCCTTAAAATGAGAATAAACAACAGTGTTGTTTTCACGATAAAACTTCCTTCAAAACAGGAACTTGCACTGTAAACCGGGTTCTGGGAGAAACTGAAAAGGGAGTGTTATAGAGAACACTATTTTATGCAAATTATATAAGAAAATGCATTTTCACAAACTGAATTTTGTTAAAAAGTTTATGAATTACAAGTCAATTTAATGTTTTTCGTCTTAAAGGGGTGGGAAAAACATCTTAAGTCAAAAATAAATTGCATAAATACGCTTACTTTGTCTATAAATGAAAAGCGAAAATTTTTTAATTAATCTTGACCTTGAACTTTTTTAGTATTAATTATGGACTTCTCTATCCGTGAACACGGGCAATTTATATCAAAATTATTCTCGGTTTACCTGGTAGTGTGGGACCCTCCTCGATACCGCAAAGCTACACTTCGACTAAGAAAGCCACACCTATGCCCAGGTGCGGCGCTACTTTGTTTAGTAAACACCCCTCACTTGTGACACTTGCCAAATGCTTCTGGTGTTATTGTACAGGGGTACGTAGTGACAACACCAGGATCCCGCTTCCTCTATCAAGGCATAAACAATTGAAATTGAATTGAACACCCCTCACTGCCACACCAAACATCCCCTACTACTACTATCATACACTCCTCCTCTGCCAGAGATAACGGGGTGGAAGGTAGAAAAGCGATTTCTCCCTGATGACAATGACGTCACCTACAACAGCCGTGTCTACACCAGTAACATGATGCCCTGTCAACACTATCAGCTGATGCAAGAACCTCACCAAGTGGCTTCACATAGAGTAGCAGTGCATCACTCAGCTTGTCAGTACAGTTTACATCCAGTCACGTGCGTGCTTCAGCCCATGATCTACCATGCTCCAGCCTTGACAAAAGAGGTCCCTTATTTTCCTCTTACAACTGTTCTTTGTAGTAACTACAAACTTTTCCACTCAATAAACATATTATCGTTGGTGACCTTGATATACATTTCATATTCAGAACAATCTGTTATTTTTTTTGTAAGAGAAGTAACAATTCGTGGTACGAGGTCTCTAAACTGATATATCGATTATATACCCATTTGTCTGGTAGCTAAGTCTTGCTAACGAGAACTTTCTTAACCATATCATTATCAATTTCGAAGTCTGCACACACACAAAGTGTATGTGTGTGTGTGTGTGTGTGTGTATATATATATATATATATACACTGTATATATATATATATATATATATATATATATATATATATATATATATATATATATATATATATATATATATATATATATATATATATATATATATATATATATATATTGTGTGTGTTTTTTACGTTTTTTGTGGCAAAATAACTTACAAACAGACAACCTAAACTAACCTAACCTTATGGTTAGGTTAAGTGAGAGGTTAGGATGGCTCGTGTAGATTGATACCCAGTTTAGTGGTCCTGGTTTTTTTTTTTAACTTTGGGTAGCCTGTTTGTAAGTTATTTCGCAAAAAAAAAACCATAATATATATATTATTTCGAGCGTTCAGTATGCAGCGGGGATGAGACGTTTGCAAGACTCCAAGGGGTACACGACACACTAGTAGCAGCAGATGCCCACCCCTAACGTCCTGTTCCCATACTCACGACTCAACGCTATCAACAATCCTAACCATATGACTTTACAGCCAAAATTATCCCTCTAATATCGGGAGAAAATCACGTAATTTTTTTAATTACTCAGCAGTTTATTGAGTTGACTCTATCTTTGTGTGATTGTGTGTGTGAAACCATCTTCCTACCTCAGTTTTTAAACATTGGAATTATCGAGATTTATGCAGAAAAGCTCTCCATAACATAGATTTACTTGCAGAGTACTTGAAAGTATAGTCACAGTACCTAAATGGCTTTACAATTAATAAAATAAATTTCTTTATTTCTCTGTAAACAACACACAAAAATCGACTTGTTCTGTCTGGTAAATGTATAAAATAAATTGTCCGGACAGTTGCGTAGGTTACTGGGTTGGCGGAGAGTGGTGGACGGTGGTGGCGGGGTACAGGAAGCCCCCCCCCCCCCAACACTTGTGCACAGCTAACGCAGTTTTATAAAAAAAAAAGCTAAAAATATATTTTATTTTACTAAATAATGAATCCAAGCTGACTCGTAAAACCTAAACGAGTGTATTTTACACGGCAGTGACCAAGCTGGTAAGCAAAATATACTTGATTAATTTCCCAGTTAAAAGATTTAACCAGTTTTAAAGAAAATAAATAAAAACTATTTGATCTCATTTAGTAAGGGACCCTATATATTCCTTTCTCTGTGTGCACTGTGGTTATAGGACCATATCCAGCATTATGGCCGAGGCCTACGTCGCCGACAATGACTAAACAAACCTATTTGTTATATTCAATGTTTCAGTAACCATATTATTTATAAGAAAGATGCTGTTGATAATGTCCACGCTTTACACACACACACACAAAGGTCTCCTGAATAATAATGCCTATCAGTGGCCAATCCTCATCAACTACGGATTGCATTCCCTTATTAAAACAACCAGTTTTAGCCTTTAAACATCCCAACAGTTTTTTGACATCACTAAAGCAAAATTTGCTCTTTTTGCAGCATCAACAGTGTTACTGTTGTGTATATTTATGAGAAGTACGGTCTTGTCTGCTACTTCACAAAACACTTGCCGGACAAACTTTCTGATGACACTAACTTCGCTAACTGCATATTTCTCTTTGTCTACATTATCCAAACGCTTCTGAGAAAGTGTGATAAAAACAAACAAAAAATAACGCCTGCCTCAAGGAAATGAGTGTTCTTGTACTCAACAATCTGCATGGTAGTGGCATCTTGTGTAGCTTTCAAACGATTGACAAAGGACAGTTATTTATTAGAGAATCCTTGTGGCATTGCCCACATGATCTGCTTGTGTAATTAGTTCTAACCAACGTGTATATAGTTGCACCTTGCCTATTTATATTGTGATTCAACGTTTCCCACAACAGTTTGTCTGAAATTCTTTGAAGAGTAACCCCCATCGCCCTTGTGTTATGTTGCAATCACGTGAAAAAGTTCTCGTTTTGGAAAGCAGTAAATTTCGCTTCTAACTCTTCACAGGAAGCGAACGAATCTCCAATTGAGAGTTGCCATACTTTGACCTCAATTTTCAAAATCATTTGTTTGTAACATTAAATGTCACTTGACTACAGAACACATCCCAGAGAAAATCTGTTAACTTCTAGATACCTTAACCTCAATATAGCAACTGTTCCTGAAGTCAACCTGAAAAAATATCACTTAAGGTCATCCACACATGGCAGCCTCCTAGAAAGACTGAGTATA